GGAGGGGTAAAAGTATTTTTTTGAAACTGCAAAGGATATAACCTAAAAGTAAGGTTCAGATTAAAGGGTTATAGATATAAATATTAAATATTAAATGGAAAGGATTCATGGGCAAATTTGTATATACCTAAGATTTCATCTTTTTCAAGACACTTTTACCAATATTTTCGTAAAATTAACATTTCTCTTAACGGGTTTGTTGAAAAAGTTAGAAGCTGTCAAAAAAAGTAAATAATTTAAGATTTATCACCTAACAAATAATTATTATATGGGTAATATTACAAAATCAGGGTACGAATAACATATCCCTTGTAATATTCTTGGACCGAGGCCAATAATCTATGTGTATACCATGTGAACTTATAATATTCTTGGACCGAGGCCAATAATCTCTGTAGACCGTGTGAACTGAATTCTGATTTCTCAACCCAATTGGCGAAGAAAATGAATACTTGTAGCATGTAACTTGATATATCATAAAAGTTGTATTATTAATGATTTATTACACATTTAGTTAATAAACTTAAGCTAATATACGAAAAATGCTTTTTATCAACACAACATTAGTAAAAGTTATTAAGGATAACTAATGTCATAAAAAATTTATAACTATCATTAATAATAAACAACTTAAATTTAAATAAAAACGCACGATGATAAAAAAAAATAGAGAAAAAAAAACAAAAAAATCATTTTTTTTAAAAACTATTTTTTAGAAATTGACCAAAAATAAAGATATCCATCAGTAGTATTTCGGAGGGACACCTTACAAAATACACGCCTTTGGGCACCATAATATGTAGGTCAATCAAATTTCACAGGGACACCCTGAGAAATATTAAACTTTCCTACTAAAATGGCTATTTATAAAAAAAAAATTGCATTTTTAATGGCCAAACATTATATTCTATGCTAATTTACAAATACAATGTATTTTTACGGAAAAATAAAATGCTTGTTAAAATCCTTAAGTTTGGTAACTTTTGACGTTTCATTTTTCATGTAAGGATTTTTATTTATTTATTTATTTATTTTTTTGCGTGAATACTTAATATTTGGGAAATTTTGATCATATATGGCCTAATATTCAGAAAGATTTGTTCATATTTTTCCATTTAGCGAATTTTTGCCTTCTACAATAGGCCACCCTTAGCCTATATGGTGCAGTGTCTTCTTGTTGACGTGATTGCCACGTCAGTGTGTCTTTGCCTTGCTTAAAAAATCATAACCTCCTGTTGTCTATAGCAGCTACTTTACCACTAAACTAGATATGTTTTAGTATATGTTTTGCTTAGTAATGATATACACTATATATAAAACTGATTTAGTGGAGGGAAATAAAGCTTGTAAGGATAGAACCCCGAACTCCTTTACAAATGGGCAACACCTCTCCACTAGGATAAAACTGATTAACTACCTTCTAATTTCAACAATCTTACGAGAACTCATGGATATTTCTAAGTAGATTCAAGGCTCAAAATAAACTCATACAACTAAAGGGTCATGGTTTGAATTTACACCAGGGGAGATTGAATCCATGGCTAAGATTCTTTGTTTCCATGAGGCCTCCATTCCTTTCACTTATTCATGTCTCCCCTTTAGATCTAATATTGTTGAAAATTTTGAATCTAAACTCTCACTTGGGAAGTTAAGGCTTTATATTCCGTAGGACGATTAACTCTCATCAAATTAGCCTTAGGTAGCCTTCCAATTTTACTAATTATCTCTATTTAACGCCTCAATGATGATTATAGAGAAATTGGAGAAAGCAAAAAAGAATTTTTCTTTAGGGTGGTTCTTCAAAGAAATCTAAAGTTTGTTGGGTTGCATGGGACAAAATTATGGGCCAAAATATTATGGTGGCCTTGGAGTTGGTAGCCTAAGAACATCGTATCTTCATCTTTAGCCGAATGATGTGGTGTTTCATTCTGTAGAATATGTACCATTATTGTCTATAGGCCCATGTCACAAGACTCTTGTCGGTTAATTAGAATATATATCCATTTGATATATAATTTTTTTCATCGGTCATTTCTTTGAGGAAAATCATTGTCATGGATTGGAGAAGCACCAGTTACTCATTAAGGTAAAATGTTTTGTTTGAAGAGCTAACCTATGGATTACACCAACTCTTATTACCTTACAAAAGCCATATGTGGACATTTTCTCACTCGCATGACTATTCAGTTATGGTCCAAAAGACGTAGACCATCTTCTTGCTTCATGTACTCTTGATATGGATGTTTGGGCCCTAGTCCGTACCCGATGTGGACTTGATGCCCATATTTTCATTTCGTCCTCATGCATAGGCGCATAGCTAGCTAAGGTCTCCAAATCAATTGGTAAATCATTTATCGGATGCAAACTTTTAGATACATACCAAATACCATCCTTTTTTGTCATTAAGGTTATTTTGGAAAACAAGAAATTAAAAGATGTGAAATAATGGGTCGATCAGATTGTATTATGACTCTCAATGAAATAAAGGTTACCAAAACCCTAGTCTAGAATGGTTGTCATGGTTCATCTTCTTATTTGGTTGTCTTTTTGTAATTGTTTCATTCAAAAAAACTCAACTACAAAAACTTAATAATAATCTTAAAATTAGGAAACGATTGTTATTGATTAGTTTACCCCAATGTGTTCATTGACAAGCTTGAAGACATTCGAAGAAAGTTTGTATAGGGTTCGAATCAAGTTGGGGTTTAAAGTTTAAACATTAGTTAATATAGTATAATTTAGTTGTTGAATAAAGTATTTAACAAAAAATGACGTTGAGACGTTAACGGAGTAGGGATGGTGTAACAGTTAATATTTTGTCCGTGAGCAGGGGGTGTCTATCTGTCCCAAATTCCATTCCTTTTAAAATATCGTGGGTCCAAAACTGGCACTACCGCCACAAAATCTTCCTTTCTCTCCACAAACTCTGCAAATCTTCCACCGTTGAGCGATGGTAGATGGGTAAGACAACCAGGTGGATCCGCTCGCTTTTCCGGCCAAAAAAGACCCCTTCCTCCTCCAACGCCACCGGGTCGGCTTCTCTAACGCAACATAAACCTGCAGATGGGGTTAACAACTCATCGGAATATAATTCATACCCCGAATCACACGATGCTAACAAGCACGCAATAGCAGTAGCCGCCGCTACGGCTGCGGTCGCCGAGGCAGCACTCGCGGCAGCCCATGCGGCGGCGGAGGTGGTCAGACTGACTGCTGGTGGTGGACGAAATAGAACGTATTTTGACGTTGAGCCACGGAGGGTAGCGGCGGCAGTGAGGATTCAGTCCACATTCCGGGCGTACTTGGTAAGTCTAAAATGTCTGATAATTGAGAATGTTATTGAATTTACTGATATACCCCTGTTCGATGGTCAAAATTACGTCGGTTGTGGTGGGGGACAATTAATGCAGGGATGGGCAGTCGTCGGATTTTGTGATGGTTGGTTGCTACTTTGCCCCTTGATAGTGCTATGTCAATTTTTCTTTTTTCAACCACAAAAAAACATTTGTTTTTTCTTTCTAACATTTGCACATGGCCTTCATTTTTGGAATTTGTGGACCGATTTTATTCATTTTCTAAAGTAATTTTTTTTCCATCTCATGGACCACTTAATTAATTACATTTCCAAATAAATGAGAATTAATTACCTTACCTATATGGTGATACTGGGAAGTTGAATTATTTTGCTGTTGTCAACGTATTTTTTAGACAACTAAATATGATAAAAAAATTAAAATCCGTATAAACACAAGTCAATAAAATCAAGATTTTTTATTTTTTTAACAAAGTAGAATGCTATTTTGGTGCACAATATTATGTAGGCTAGGAGGGCACTAAGAGCATTGAAAGGATTAGTGAAGCTTCAGGCACTGGTTCGAGGTCGAATCGTTCGAAAACAAAGCGCAGAAATGCTTCGAAGAATGCAAGCCATGGCTCGTGTCCAAGCTCGAGCTTGCGCTAGTCGATCTTCATTGTCGGCGTCACCACATTCAAGCACCAGATCATCAAACTCGCATAATCATCCTGTAAGTTGTTAAATTCCATTAATAAACGTGATAAACAGTGATTTCTCGCTGGATGTTAACTGAAATATGAAATTCTCACAGAAATTTACAAGTGCGAAAGGGTCTTTCATCCAAGAACGTTTTAAAGGGCTAAATTGGTTGGAAAATTGGATGGACGATGGATCATGGAGCAGTAAACAATGTCGACCTGATGATGAAAGGAGTGATAAGATTCTAGAAGTGGATACCTGGAAGCCTCGGGTTAACCCGAGTCCGAGTAACAAGTCGACAAATTCCACACCGACAAAGCCTTGGAACCCTAGATCCGGGACCAGGGAAGTGTTGCCGTTGGGTTCGATGATTCTCCGAGAGGCGGAGAAAAATGTGTCGACGGCTGAAAACACGCCTAGGGCTTGTTCCCCTGGTTCTAGACCTGGAAGTAGCTATAGACAAAGCCCTTTCACTGAATATTCACGTAGTGTTTATGGTGATTACTCGAGTTATCCAAATTACATGGCCAATACTCAATCTTCACGAGCAAAATTGAGGTCGCATAGTGCTCCAAAACAGAGGAATCTGGGTTCCAGTAGATCGGTTTGGGATTATTCTGATACTGTTTCCGAGAGAGGATTTCGAAGCTAGATCTTGGCTCGTAACTCTAAATCCAAATCCAAATTATTGGATTTGGATTGCAAAAAAGAAAGTCTGTTTTCTTGATTCAGAGTTTTTTTTTTTTTTTTTTTTTTTTTTTAAATATTATCGTCTATTGGTGTGTTAGCCGTTTGCAATTTTACACGATGTAATTTTGAAAAACCGTATATATTTCTGCTCTTTGTGCTAACTTTCAAGTTTCAACTTATGCTATGTTTTTCCCTTTTTTAAATGACAAATATTCATATAAAACAAAAACTTTTTTAATTTTATCAAGTCTGGTTATCTTGTTAAAAAGATTAAAAAAGGCATTACAGTTTCGCATTGAAATAGAGCATGGGACCGGTTTCAGCCCGACTTAAGAATTAAGAATATGACAATGAGATGCAACCAACCGGACTGGTCCCAACCTTGTGACTGATGATGCAACTAGAAATGCAGAACAAAGTAAAGCTTAATTGTCTTGCTCATGGTAAAAAAATTCTTGTCAAATTAGACTTTGATTAAATCGGAAATAGTATTATATTTGAAAGTTCATCTTTGAGTAAACCCTACATGAAAAAATTGTTATGATAAATCTTTTCGCTACCTTCCATAACGGGTCACGGAGACGATACTTTTCTTGCTTTCCCTACCCTTGGGATACCTTTTGCTTCAATGTGGACCAAAACCAGCACCATCCACTATTCTTT